TTCTGATGATGGTCCCTATTTGGAGTTCCAAGAATGACATAAATTGATTCAAGTATTTGTGAATCATTTCCTGCAAAAAGAATTTCTCCTCGTGCCATTTCTGCAAAAATACATCCAATACTCCATACATCAACTGCTGGTCCATAAATAATTGCTCCAAACCAAATTTCTGGTGGTCTATATGATGGAGTAATGACTCCTTTTGTAAATTGGTCACACTCTGAACCAAATGGTCTAACACTTCCAAAATCAGTTATTTTTAATACATCATCTTCACTGATTAAAATATTTGCTGGCTTAAGATCCTAACATCATCAATCTTTACTTCTTCATTACTTTTTATTATCTTTACCATCAACAAACTCGATGAAGAAGAAAATTCATGTGAAGAACTCTTACTCCTTCAAGAATCATTTTTAAATATCTACAAACTCTCATTGGATCTGTCTTTAATCTTCCATTTCTTATTTCCTTCTCAAGATCAGAAGGATGATATTCCATTACCATATAAAGAAGATTTCTGTGAAAATAAAAATCTACTACTTTGACAATATTACTATGGTCTAATTCTCTTAACACTTTAATCTCTCTTAATATTTCTAAAGGATATCCATCAAAATCACGTCCCATCAATGATTGATCTCCTAAATTGAATTGTTTCACCGCAACCTTTTTGTTTGTTACACCATCTGTTCGTAATGTAACTTCTCCATATGAACCTCCTCCTAATTTTATTCCATCCTTCTTAAATCGTCTGTTTTGAATTTCATAGTATATATCAGATATAATTGGTTCTTCTTCCATTTGCTTTTTGATTCTATAACTTCCTAGTTCTTTTTCTCTCTTTTTTATTTGACTTATTTTTTTTTCTATGCTTAACTTCTTCATTGTTCATTGAAGCACAATGTGGATATTATACAAAATACTCTTCTTATTGTTTGTCTTCTTTTCAATGCTCATTCTTTGTCTTATTTGTATTGTATTACTTATAACTTAACTGAAAAATCGAAAATAAAGTAAATAAACAATAATCTAATTTCCCCAAAACATTGGAGAACAATTAATATGAGTATATTCAATATTTCGCAACCTGGGGAAGAGAGAGAGAATATCGTCTGTAACATTCATTGAATTGTCAATGAGAATAAAAGGTATTTAGTTTTAAACACTTGAAAATGAATTGAAATAATAATAATAAAGAATTAATTAAGTGTTAATAGAATTGTCATTTATTCATTGATTAATGGATATTAATAACTTTATCCATCATTAAAATGAGTAATTTATTTGTTTTATTTATTATTTAGATTTTCTAGGTATTTTATGAATAAATCATTTTATTTTATTTTGTTTTATTTCTTTCTTTTTATCTTCTAATTTGTTTTTCATTTTAAATAACATTTCATCTTCTTTCTTTATTTCTTATTTTATATTGAATGAATATTTCATTATCATTATATTATTATGTATAATTTCATTTATTATTAATATCATCATTTATATCATTTTCTTTTCTTATTATTATTTCATATTATTTTATTTCATTCTTTCTATTATTATTATTTATTATATTTCTTATTAAAATCCATCATCATAATAATCATATAATAACTGGGTGAATCATTGTTTGATTTTGTATTAATGTTTATGTGTTGTATTTCTGACATCCAACCTTCAAACACTTGAAACTAAATTAATAAAAGAAATTGAAAAAAACGGAAAGAAGTTTAAGTTAAAAAATAATAGCAGGGAAAGAAATGTAACTTCTTTCTATTAACTGAGTCATGTAATCCACATCAAGAGCACCACACATCTCACGAATTGAATGCATAGAAAGCATTGGATTACCAAGGTCTATAGTTGTTATTCCTGTTGTTGAAGCAACGTGTGGACCTATTGTCGATCCACCAAGAATACTCTGTTTAAGAACAAATGTTTGAGTGGGAATATCTCCAGCAGCTTTAACGACCATTGCACGTAATAGTCCATCAGACATATACCTCTGTCCACAATGTTCTTTTAAAACTGGCCCACTATTAAGTCTTATTGGATGATTCTTTTCCATTACATCAACAGTAGGATGCGAAGCATGTGCTCCATCAATTGATAAAACAACTGACTTTGAGTAAGCTACATAAATTGATTGGATACTTTCATTATTAAAAAGAATAGAATGAACACGATTAATGATATTTGTTAAAAAAACACTTTGTGCTCCTCTTCTATTTGTTGATCCAACCTCTTCATTATCAAATGCTACAAACATATCTATTTGTTGAGAATTTTGATTAAGTTGTTCACTAGATAAGAATCCTTGTAATGATGTGAAAACACCATTTAAATTATCAATTCCTTGACCAACAATATATTTATTCAAAGATAAAAATGATGCAGGTTCACAGTCACAGAGACAAAGGTCAGTTGAAATAATGTCTTTTACGTTTACTTTTAATTGAACAGCAATTTTATTTAGAAGTAAGTTATATGCAGAAATATTCTTTGATGCTGCTTCTGCACACACAGCAGAGAGATGTTTATCCTTATCGATTATGTATTTTCTTTCAGTGTCAAGGTGGATTGCTAATCCACAAATTCTAAACAATGGCTCCTTAATTGAAACAATATGCCTTTCTCCATTAGCTAAAATAACTCTTCCAGATATTCCTAAATCACGGTCAATCCATGTATGCCAAATTCCACCACCATACACTTCACAAGATACTAGTGCAAGATTGTTCTTGAATACATCAGGATTTGGTTTTAATTTTAAGAAAGGAGAGTCAAGATGTGAACTTGTAATGAAAATCCTTGATGTAGCATTTGCGTTGTTAGTTCTAAATGCAACCAAACTGCTATCATCTCTAACAAGATAATATTTTTTATGAAGTTCAAGGTTCCAAACCTCATTTTCTTTAAGACGGACATAACCAGCAGACTCAAGTCTTTTCTGTACAACTTGACAAGCAACAAATGGTGATCCTGAAGCTTCGTTTAAAAAGTTGATGAAGTCTTTAGCTAAAGATGACATGATACAAAATTTTAAGATTTTTCTTTTTATTTTATTTTTTCTTTTTTTCTTTGACTTTATCATCAAACTTCATTTTACTCACAACAATAAATATTCATCACAGCAATAAACCTAAACACTATTGTTAAAGCCTTCTCATTGTCTTTGTAAATTATATATACAATGAAAAAAATAGGGTTTGAAAGAACTATAAAAATAAGAGAAGAAAAAACATAATCAAATCATAAAAAATGAGTGACTCGGACAATACTAATAAAGAAATTAAGTCATATGAACATCCTGAAGAACCACTTTCAAAAAAAAAGCAAAAGAAATTAGCGAAGAAAGAATTAAAAATGAGATTATGGAAAGAGACAAGAAGTGAAATGAGAAAAGAAAGAAAAGAAAGGGCAAAAGAGAGAAGAAAAGAAATGAGAGAGAGTGGACAATATATTCCTCGAAAGAAGAAAAGAACAACAGAAAATCTTGAGATTGGAGGGAAAGTTATTATAGATTGTGATTTTGATGATAAAATGAATGAAAATGAAGTAAAGTCATTATTTAACCAAATTCAATTATTATATGGTGCTAACTGGAAATATGAACATCCTTTAGAAATTAGATGTGTTGGAGTTAGTGGAAAACTCAAAGAATTAATTGAAAAAAGAGAAGCACATAAATGGAAATTAATAACATTTGAAGAAAAAAAAATTGAAGAAATTAAAAACGAAGTTCAATGCGTTTATCTTGCAGCAGAGAGTGAAACAGTTATTGATAACTTTAATAAAGAAATAAATTATGTAATTGGAGGGATTGTTGACCATAATAAATTTAAAAGATTATGTGAAAATAAAGCAAGTTCATTAAATATTTCAACAGCTCGACTACCAATAGAACAGCACATTGAATGTATTGGAAGAAAAGTATTAACAGTAAACCAAGTTTTTGAAATTATTGGTGAACAATATCAAACAAATAATTGGGATACTACAATACAAAAAATACTTCCACAAAGGAAGCAAGAAGTGCTACCCAAAAATGAGCCAAAAAGTGATGAAGAGCTTTCATTGTAAAATGTTATCAAAGTTATTAGTTTTTCTTTTATTCCATAATATTAATATTTTTGTAATAAATATATTATAATCAATTTTATATTCTCAAATAAATAATCGAATAAAACCAATTAACATAACATTCATTTGGTGTTAACAAAATTGACAGATTTAAAAATAGTATAAGACTTAAAAATTATTTTTTTGTTATTTTTTGTTATTTTTACGTTTTTCAATTTTTTCGTGATTTTTTTTAGTGTTTAACTAAACATTATATTAAACGAACATATCATTTCCTACTTCATTATTATTAATCAATTTCTTTGTACAACTAAGAACGTCAAAAAAAAAACAACTAAAACTATTCCGTTTTTCCATTTTCATTAACAGATAAAATCACCTTTTTTTCTTACGCTGAACTTAAAATTTAAAAAACTTAAAATTATCAGATTTAAAATAAAAATGGGAAACACCCTCTCTGGATTGAAACAAGAAGATGTTGAACAAATGATGGCTACAACCAACTTCACTGAAAGTGAATTAAGACGTTTATTCCGTCGTTTTAAAAAATTGGGAATGAAAGCTAAAGAAGGTGCCTCTGAAGAATATGATGACCTTGCTGAATTAACTTCTAACCCAGTTCTTCAAAGACTTCTTGAAATCTTCAATCGTTATGAAAATGAAGAGGTACAATTCTCTCAATTTGTTGCAACCCTTTCAACCCTTTCTGATAAAGGAAGTCAAGAAGCAAAACTTAGATTTGCTTTCCAAGTGTATGATGTTGATAATGATGGTTTTATATCAAATCCAGAACTATTCAAAGTTCTTAAAATGATTATTGGTAGTTCTTTTACTGATGAACAATTACAACAAGTGGTTGATAAAACTATTATCGAAGCTGACAAGGATAGAGACGGAAAGATTTCATATGAAGAATTCTGCAGTATTATCTTAAAGAACTCTGAAAATATTGGAGAAAAACTTACCATTAATTGGCAATAAATTGAAATCATCTTTTTTTATTTCCTAATTATCGTTTTAACTAATTTACTTCCTTTTTCTTATTTATTTTTTTTGTTATTTTTAAAATCAATAAAGTATATATAACAAAATATCTCTTTTTAATTACAATGATACATTATTCCATAAGATTCAAGACGAATTAATTGTTTAGGAACAGCTTTGAAAGCTGAATGATGGGGAGACATTAGTTCTGTAACATTTCCATGAATTTTTTTGACATGTATTCTTAAGTGTTTTTTAGCATCATTTTTACGTTTAAAACGTAAAGTACAACCTGGGAATGGACATTGAAATGGCTTTTCATCAGAATGGTAAAGCATATGAATCTTAAGATCAGTAGCACGAGCAAAACGTTTCTGACAAATATTACAACAATATGGCTTAACTCCTGTATGAATTCTAACATGAATTTCACACTCTGATTTTCTTAAGAAAGCTTTACCACAAAACTCACAGACATGTTCTTTAACAGTAGAATGTCGACTCATATGTCTATGAAGAGACTCTTCACTATCATAACACTTCCCACAACCTTCATGTGGACATATATACTTTCCAGTTGTA